TATACAAATTCGGAATTCTATGTACAAAAACACATTTCTGACTAGAAATGAATAACAATGAATATATGTACAACGTCACACTTGTGACTATAACTGAATAACAATGTATACGTACAAAGTCACATTTCAGACAATGACTGAATAACAATGTTGTATGTACAACGTCATATTTCTGACTATAACTGAATAACAATAAATGTTTGTACAAAGTCACATTTCAGACAATGACTGAATAACAATGTTGTATTACAACGTCATATTTCTGACAATGACTAAGTAACAATAAATGTATGTACAAAGTCACATTTCAGACAATGACTGAATAACAATGTTGTATGTACAACGTCATATTTCTGACAATGACTAAGTAACAATAAATGTACGAACAAAGTCATATTTCTGACTTTAACTGAATAACAATGTTGTATGTACAACGTCACATTTCAGGCAATGACTGAATAACAATTAATGTATGTACACCGTCATATTTCCGACTGTCACTGAATAACAATGAATGTATGTACAAAGTCACATATCCGACAATGACTGAATAACATGAATGTATGTACAACGTCACATTTCTTACTTTAACGGAATAACAATGAATGTATGTACAACGTCTTATTTCTGACTATAACAGAATAACAATAAATGTACGTACAAAGTCACATTTCAGACAATGACTGAATAACAATGTTGTATGTACAACGTCACACGTGTGACGATAACTGAATAACAATGAATGTATGTACGTCATATTTCTGATTATAACTGAATAACAATGAGTGTATTTACGTCATATGTCGAACTGTAACTGAATAACAATGAGTGCAGCAGGCACAGCGTCTCATTTCTGAAAATGACTAAATAACAAAAAATATGTATGTACAACGTCACATTTCTAAGTGTAACCCAAAAACAATGAATGTATTTAAAACGTCATATTTCTGACTGTAACCGATTAGCAATGAGTGCAATTAGCAATGAGTGCAGCAGGCACAGCGTCTCATTTCTGACAATGACTAGATAACAATAAAATTGTTTTTACAACGTCATATTTCTGGCTACACCTGAATACCAATGAATCAATGTTCAACGTCATATTTCTGACAATGATTCAATAACAATGAGTGCAGCAGGCACAGCATCATATTTCTGACGATACTTGAATAATAATGAATGAATGTACAACGTCACATTTCAGCCAATGACTGAAAAACAATGAATGTATCTACAGTGTCATAAAAATGAATGAATGTACAACGTCATATTTCTGACAATGATTCAATAACAATGAGTGCAGCAGGCACAGCATCATATTTCTGACAATACTTGAATAATAATGAATGAATGTAGAACGTCACATTTCAGCCAATGACTGAAAAACAATGAATGTATCTACAGTGTCATAAAAATGAATGAATGTACAACGTCATATTTCTGACAATGATTCAATAACAATGAGTGCAGCAGGCACAGCATCATATTTCTGACAATACTTGAATAATAATGAATGAATGTACAACGTCACATTTCAGCCAATGACTGAATAACAATGAATGTATTTACAGTGTCACATTTCATACAATGACTAAATAACCATGTTTGTATGAACAACGTCACATTACCACAATTACTGAATAACAATGAATGTATGTACAGGGTCAAATTTCTGACTATGACTTATTAACAATGAGTGCAGAAGGCACACCGTCATATTTCTGACAATGACTAGATAACAATCAAATTGTTTTTACAACATCATATTTCTGGCTACACCTGAATACCAATGAATCTATGTTCAACGTCATATTTCTGACAATGATTCAATAACAATGAGTGCAGCAGGCACAGCATCATATTTCTGACAATACTTGAAAAATAATGAATGAATGTAGAACGTCACATTTCAGGCAATGACTGAATAACAATGAATGTATTTACAGTGTCATAATAATGAATGAATGTACAACGTCATATTTCTGACAATGATTCAATAACAATAAGTGCAGCAGGCACAGCATCATATTTCTGACAATACTTGAATAATAATGAATAAATGTAGAACGTCACATTTCAGCCAATGACTGAATACAATGAATGTATTTACAGTGTCACATTTCATACAATGACTAAATAACAATGTTTGTATGAACAACGTCATATTGCTCACAATTATTTAATAACAATGAATGTATGTACAAGGTCACATTTCTGACTATGACTTATTAACAATGAGTGCAGCAGGCACAGCGTCATATTTCTGACAATGACTATATAACAATAAAATTGTTTTTACAACATCATATTTCTGCTACACCTGAATACAATGAATCAATGTTCAACGTCATATTTCTGACAATGATTCAATAACAATGAGTGCAGCAGGCACAGCATCATATTTCTGAAAATACTTGAAAAATAATGAATGAATGTACAACGTCACATTTCAGCCAATGACTGAATAACAATGAATGTATTTACAGTGTCATATTTCTGACAATGACTAAATAACAATGTTTGTATGAATAACGTCACATTACCACAATTACTGAATAACAATGAATATATGTACAACGTCACATTTCTAACTATGACTTATTAACAATGAGTGCAGCCGGCACAGCGTCATATTTCTGACACTGACTACATAACAATAAAATTGATTTTACAACGTCATATTTCTGGCTACACCTGAATACCAATGAATCTATGTTCAACGTCATATTTCTGACAATGATTCAATAACAATGAATGTACAACGTCACATTTCAGCCAATGACTGAATATCAATGAATATATGTACAACGTCACATTTCTTACAATGACTAAATAACAATGAGGGCAGCAGGCACAGCGTCATATTTCTGACAATGACTATATAACAATGATTGAGTGAGTGAGTGAGTATGGTTTTACGCCGCTTTTTGCAATATTCCAACAATATCACGGCGGAGGACACCAGAAATGGGCTTCACACATTGTACCCATGTCGGGAATCGAACCCGGGTCTTCGGCGTGACGAGCGAACACTTTAACCACCAGGCTACCCGACCGCCCCTCTCAATAACAATGAGTGCAGCAGGCACAGCATCATATTTCTGACAATACTTGAAAAATAATGAATGAATGTACAACGTCACATTTCAGCCAATGACTGAATATCAATGAATGTATTTACAGTGTCATATTTCTGACAATGACTAAATAACAATGTTTGTATGAACAACGTCACATTTCTGACAATTACTGAAAAAGAATGAATGTATGTACAACGTGATATTCTTGACGATGACTAAGTATCAATGAATGTATGTACAACGTCACTTTTCTGACAATCACTAACAACAATGAATGTATTTACGTCATATTTCTTACTATAACTGAATAATATTGAGTGTATTTACAACGTCACATTTCTGACTATAACTGAATAACAATAAGTGTATTTACACCGGCATATTTGTCACTTTGAATGAATAATAATGAATGTATGTACAACGTCACATTTCTGACACTAACTCAATTGCAATGAATGTATGTACAACGTCACATTTCTGACAATAACTCAATAGCAATGAATGTATGTACAACGTCACATTTCTGACAATAACTCAATAGCAATGAATGTATGTACAACGTCACATTTCTGACACTAACTCAATTGCAATGAATGTATGTACAACGTCACATTTCTGACACTAACTCAATTGCAATGAATGTATGTACAACGTCACATTTCTGACAATAACTCAATAGCAATGAATGTATGTACAACGTCACATTTCTGACAATAACTAAATAACAATGAATGTATGTACGTCATATCTCTGACTATAACGTAATAACAGAGAGTAACTTTACATCGTCACATTTGTATCTAAAGCAGAATAATAACCTGTATGTGACACCTCTGTCTATTGCTGAGTAAACGTGAGTGTTTGTACAATGTACAAACTGAAGTGCTGTACAATAATTCCTCAGTCAAATGCCCTGTCAGTGATCACTTACATCAAAGTGATCGTCATCACTCAATGGTTTAAGTAAGTGAGAGAAATATTTTTCTTTGATTTTCAAATACACTTTGATATGTATGTCCACAAATTCCATCTACTTGGGCTTAAGATAACGTGTCCAGAATGAAAACATGAAGAAATGGAAAATGACAGGCAGACGTCGGATCACAGGTATAACTGAGCCCCATCTCTGCCAGTTACCGAAGATCAGTGGATCCATGTTATCATTTGTCAATAATATGTCACATTCTGTATGAAGACTCTGATAACAAGCTAAGAAGAGATAAACATAGCTGCCCCAAAGTGTTTAGCTTGAAATAAACACCCAGTAATAAGATATGAATTAGTTTCAATATTTCCTATTTAAAACCAGAAAATATGGTCAATGCATGCCATATATATACTTAACAACTAAAATGCGAGTCCATGTTCAATTCAAGCTCCGACGATCATACAGTTCACTCTATGAAGGTTCATACTCCACTAAACTCACACAAAGTGAAAGTCAATTCTTGGCACATGGAATATGCTGCAGCACAATGTACCTTCTACCATACACTTAATAGTTTGTTATTTTCAGCAAGATATAAAATAATATTTACTAACACTAATGTGGCTTGTTCGTGTTCACTCAGGCAGTGAACTCTCATGAAAAACTCATAACATTGAGACGCTGTGAAAACGCATATTACATTTTTTGGTACTTATTTGACAAAATGGACAAAAACGAAACAAATTGTTCTGGGCATTCAGGCATGAGATAATCAAACATGGGTACGGGTTCGAATCCCGTTTATGTGTTTGGAGATGTACTAAAGCACATAATCAAACATATTTTCTGAATCCGTGTAAAAGCTGATCATGCGCTTTCACTTTGTCTCAGTGCATGTAAGCACATAGCTCATCAGATTCTAAATATCTTGAATGATCATTCATTAACATTCTTAAGATTCTAAGAAAGCCCATACTTTTTTCAAGGTTATTTCATCTTTCCGATTCACGAGAATGTCCCTGTCCTGAATGATCCCTTAGGTATTTGACAATGACATTGCTTCTCCCTCGCTGAGCCAGGGTGAGGACATCTTCACCTGTGTCTGAGACCAGAGAGAGATCTGGGTTGTGAGACACCAGCAACTGGAAGACATCATCATGGCCACACACAGCCGCCATCATGACCGGTGTCCAGTCATACCGACCTCGGACGTTGATGTCATAGGATGGGAGCAGATACTCCACACACTGTCTGTTACCTCCCCGACAGGCCAGATGTAGTAAACTGTCTCCAAACTGGTCTGTCTGAACCAGGACAGGGCTGTTTTCACCGTAAATCCTCGGACGGTACATCCAACCCGTCACTATTGATCTCATCAGTTCATTCCATGGAGAGGGCTTCTTCATATGTTGTCCATCTGGAGATAATTGTTCTATGATGTGGCGACATCCTCCCTGAAGGGCGAGAGTGAACACACCATCTCCCGTTTTATCAACCAGTGTCAGATCTGCACCTTTTTGTTTCAGGAAGTCAAACACTGACTGTTTACCAAACACAGCTTCTACCATTGCAGGTGACCACCCATGTAGGTTTCTGTCGTCAATATTAAACCATGGACACACATGTTTCACCATAATCTTGGACGCGACGTTAAACCCAACTTCACCTCACCTCACCTCACATGTTTCACCATACCAAGATGGCCATAATAACAAGCCGCATGTAGCAGACTATTTCCCGAATTATCCACCATTTTGACGTCAGCTTTGCGGGACACAAGGAAGCCAACGACAGCCATGTGGCCTCCGCTAGCTGCCTCCAAGAGTGGAGTGCATCCATGTACTCCTCTTGTGTTAATGTCAAAGAGATCAATGACATCTTCAACAATTGTCATGTTCCCACCTTTACTCGCTGCGTGTAGTACCGTGTGATTATTATCACCAACTAATAAACGGTTTCCCCCACTTCTCAGAATAAGTAACCAAACATCATTCTTTCCAGACCAAGCTGCCCTCATGAATGATGTACAATCGTATACTCCCCGACAATTAATGTCAGAAAATGGCAGGAGAAGCTCTACAATGAACCTATTTCCACCTTGACATGCCAGATGAAGAACATTGTTATTGTAGTCATCTGCCAGTGTGAGGTCAGCTCCCTTTGACGCAAGCATTTCAAAAGTATCTTTCTTTCCATAGAGAGCTGCTATCATTACTCCTGTCAAACAATGTTGTCCCCGACAATTGATGTCAAATAATGGCAGCAGAGGTTCTACAATGAACCTATTTCCTCCCTCGGCCATTATTACTCCTGTCCCACCATGTCGTCCCTGCCAATTAATGTCAAATTATGGCAGTAGACTTTCTACAATGGACCTATTTCCACCCTGACATGCCAGTTGTAGAACATTGTTATTGTAGTCATCTGTCAGTGTGAGATCAGTTCCCGCTGACATCAGCATTTCAAAAGTATCCTTCTTTCCAAAGAGAACGGCCATCATTACTCCTGTCCGACCCTCATTTCCCCGACAATTAATGTCAAATAACGGCAGTAGACGTTCTAGTATGAACCTATTTCCACCCTGACATGCCAGATGAAGTACATTGTTATTGTAGTCATCTGTCAGTGTGAGATCAGCTCCCTTTGCCATCAGCATTTCAAAAGAATCCCTTTTTCCAAAAAAAGCTGCCCTCATTGCTCCTGTGAAACAATGTTGTCCCTGACAATTTATGTCAAATAATGACAGTAGACGTTCTACAATGAACCTATTTCCCCCCTCACATGCCAGAAGAAGTACATTGTTATTGAAGTCATCTGTTAGTGTGAGATCAGCTCCCGCTGACACAAGCATTTCAAAAGTATCCTTCTTTCCACAGAGAACGGCCATCATTACTCCTGTCAAACCCTCATTTCTCCGACAATTAATGTCAAATAACGGCAGTAGGCGTTCTAGAATGAACCTATTTCCACCCTGACATGCCAGATGAAGTACATTGTTATTGTTGTCATCTGTCAGTGTGAGATCAGCTCCCTTTGCCATCAGCATTTCAAAAGTATCTTTCTTTCCATAGAGAGCTGCCATCATTACTCATGTCAAACCCTCTCGTCCCCGACAATTAATGTCAAATAAGGGCAGTAGACGTTCTACAATGAACCTATTTCCACCCTGACATGCCAGATGAAGTACATTGCTATTGTAATCATCTGTCAGTGTGAGATCAGCTCCCTTTGTCTGAAGCATTTCAAAAGAATCCCTTTTTCCACAGAAAGCTGCCCTCATTACTCCTGTCAAACCCTCATTTCCACGACAATTAATGTCAAACAACGGCAGTAGACGTTCTACAATCGACCTATTTCCACCCTGACATGCCAGATGAAGAACATTGTTATTGTAGTCAGTTGTCAGTGTGAGATCAGCACCCTTTGAAACAAGCATTTCAAAAGTATCCTTCTTTCCATAGAGAGCTGCTCTCAATACTCCTGTCGAACCCTCTCGTCGCCGACAATTAATGTCAAATAACGGCAGTAGACGTTCTACAATGAACCTATTTCCACCCTGACATGCCAGATGAAGAACATTGCTATTGGAGTCATCTGTCAGTGTGAGATCAGCTCCCTTTGACACGAGCATTTCAAAAGTATCTTTCTTTCCATAGAGAGCTGCTATCATTACTCCTGTCAAACCCTCTCGTCGTCGACAATTGATGTCAAATAATGGCAGTAGACGTTCTACAATGAACCTATTTCCACCCTGACATGCCAGATGAAGAACATTGTTATTGTTGTCATCTGTCAGTGTGAGATCAGCTCCCTTTGACACAAGCATTTCAAAAGTATCCTTTTTTCCATAGATAGCTGCTATCATTACTCCTGTCAAACCCTCTCGTCGTCGACAATTGATGTCAAATAATGGCAGTAGACGTTCTACAATGAACCTATTTCCACCCTGACATGCCAGATGAAGTACATTGTTATTGTAATCATCTGTCAGTGTGAGATCAGCTCCCTTTGACACAAGCATTTCAAAAGAATCGTTCTTTCCACAGAGAGCTGCTCTCATTACTCCTGTCCAACCATCTTGTCCCCTACAAATAATGTCCAATAATGGCAGTAGACGTTCTAGAATGAACCTATTTCCACCCTGACATGCCAGATGAAGAACATTGTTATTGTAATCATCTGTCAGTGTGAGATCAGCTCCATTTGACACAAGCATTTCAAAAGTATCCTTCTTTCCATAGAGAGCTGCTCTCATTACTCCTGTCCAACCATCTTGTCCCCGTTAATTGATGTCCAATAATGGCAGTAGACGTTCTAGAATGAACCTATTTCCACCCTGACATGCCAGATGAAGTACATTGTTATTGTAGTCGTTTGTCAGTGTGAGATCAGCTCCCTTTCCCATCAGCATTTCAAAAGTATCCTTCTTTCCATAGAGAGCTGCTATCATTACTCCTGTCAAACGCTCTCGTCCCCGACAATTAATGTCAAATAAGGGCAGTAGACGTTCTACAATCAACCTATTTCCACCCTGACATGCCAGATGAAGAACATTGTTATTGTAATCATCTGTCAGTGTGAGATCAGCTCCATTTGACACAAGCATTTCAAAAGTATCCTTCTTTCCATAGAGAGCTGCTCTCATTACTCCTGTCCAACCATCTTGTCCCCGTTAATTGATGTCCAATAATGGCAGTAGACGTTCTAGAATGAACCTATTTCCACCCTGACATGCCAGATGGAGTACATTGTTATTGTAGTCGTTTGTCAGTGTGAGATCAGCTCCCTTTCCCATCAGCATTTCAAAAGTATCCTTCTTTCCATAGAGAGCTGCTATCATTACTCCTGTCAAACGCTCTCGTCCCCGACAATTAATGTCAAATAAGGGCAGTAGACGTTCTACAATGAACCTATTTCCACCCTGACATGCCAGATGAAGTACATTGTTATTGTAATCATCTGTCAGTGTGAGATCAGCTCCCTTTGTCTGAAGCATTTCAAAAGAATCCCTTTTTCCACAGAAAGCTGCCCTCATTGCTCCCGTCAAATCCTCATTTCCCCGACAATTAATGTCAAATAACGGCAGTAGACGTTCTACAATCAACCTATTTCCACCCTGACATGCCAGATGAAGTACATTGTTATTGTAGTCGTTTGTCAGTGTGAGATCAGCTCCCTTTCCCATCAGCATTTCAAAAGTATCCTTCTTTCCATAGAGAGCTGCTATCATTACTCCTGTCAAACGCTCTCGTCCCCGACAATTAATGTCAAATAAGGGCAGTAGACGTTCTACAATCAACCTATTTCCACCCTGACATGCCAGATGAAGAACATTGTTATTGTAATCATCTGTCAGTGTGAGATCAGCTCCATTTGACACAAGCATTTCAAAAGTATCCTTCTTTCCATAGAGAGCTGCTCTCATTACTCCTGTCCAACCATCTTGTCCCCGTTAATTGATGTCCAATAATGGCAGTAGACGTTCTAGAATGAACCTATTTCCACCCTGACATGCCAGATGAAGTACATTGTTATTGTAGTCGTTTGTCAGTGTGAGATCAGCTCCCTTTCCCATCAGCATTTCAAAAGTATCCTTCTTTCCATAGAGAGCTGCTATCATTACTCCTGTCAAACGCTCTCGTCCCCGACAATTAATGTCAAATAAGGGCAGTAGACGTTCTACAATGAACCTATTTCCACCCTGACATGCCAGATGAAGTACATTGTTATTGTAATCATCTGTCAGTGTGAGATCAGCTCCCTTTGTCTGAAGCATTTCAAAAGAATCCCTTTTTCCACAGAAAGCTGCCCTCATTGCTCCCGTCAAATCCTCATTTCCCCGACAATTAATGTCAAATAAGGGCAGTAGACGTTCTACAATCAACCTATTTCCACCCTGACATGCCAGATGAAGAACATTGTTATTGTAATCATCTGTCAGTGTGAGATCAGCTCCATTTGACACAAGCATTTCAAAAGTATCCTTCTTTCCATAGAGAGCTGCTATCATTACTCCTGTCAAACCCTCTCGTCGTCGACAATTGATGTCAAATAAGGGCAGTAGACGTTCTACAATGAACCTATTTCCACCCTGACATGCCAGATGAAGAACATTGTTATTGTAATCATCTGTCAGTGTGAGATCAGCTCCATTTGACACAAGCATTTCAAAAGTATCCTTCTTTCCATAGAGAGCTGCTATCATTACTCCTGTCAAACCCTCTCGTCGTCGACAATTGATGTCAAATAAGGGCAGTAGACGTTCTACAATGAACCTATTTCCACCCTGACATGCCAGATGAAGTACATTGTTATTGTAATCATCTGTCAGTGTGAGATCAGCTCCCTTTGTCTGAAGCATTTCAAAAGAATCCTTTTTCCACAGAAAGCTGCCCTCATTGCTCCCGTCAAATCCTCATTTCCCCGACAATTAATGTCAAATAACGGCAGTAGACGTTCTACAATCAACCTATTTCCACCCTGACATGCCAGATGAAGAACATTGTTATTGTAATCATCTGTCAGTGTGAGATCAGCTCCATTTGACACAAGCATTTCAAAAGTATCCTTCTTTCCATAGAGAGCTGCTATCATTACTCCTGTCAAACCCTCTCGTCGTCGACAATTGATGTCAAATAAGGGCAGTAGACGTTCTACAATGAACCTATTTCCACCCTGACATGCCAGATGAAGAACATTGTTATTGTAATCATCTGTCAGTGTGAGATCAGCTCCATTTGACACAAGCATTTCAAAAGTATCCTTCTTTCCATAGAGAGCTGCTATCATTACTCCTGTCAAACCCTCTCGTCGTCGACAATTGATGTCAAATAAGGGCAGTAGACGTTCTACAATGAACCTATTTCCACCCTGACATGCCAGATGAAGAACATTGTTATTGTAATCATCTGTCAGTGTGAGATCAGCTCCCTTTGTCTGAAGCATTTCAAAAGAATCCCTTTTTCCACAGAAAGCTGCCCTCATTGCTCCTGTCAAATCCTCATTTCCCCGACAATTAATGTCAAATAACGGCAGTAGACGTTCTACAATCAACCTATTTCCACCCTGACATGCCAGATGAAGAACATTGTTATTGTAATCATCTGTCAGTGTGAGATCAGCTCCATTTGACACAAGCATTTCAAAAGTATCCTTCTTTCCATAGAGAGCTGCTATCATTACTCCTGTCAAACCCTCTCGTCGTCGACAATTGATGTCAAATAAGGGCAGTAGACGTTCTACAATGAACCTATTTCCACCCTGACATGCCAGATGAAGAACATTGTTATTGTAATCATCTGTCAGTGTGAGATCAGCTCCATTTGACACAAGCATTTCAAAAGTATCCTTCTTTCCATAGAGAGCTGCTATCATTACTCCTGTCAAACCCTCTCGTCGTCGACAATTGATGTCAAATAAGGGCAGTAGACGTTCTACAATGAACCTATTTCCACCCTGACATGCCAGATGAAGTACATTGTTATTGTACTCGTTTGTCATTGTCAGATCAGCTCCCTTTGCCATCAGCATTTCAAAAGTATCTTTCTTTCCATAGAGAGCTGCTATCAATACTCCTGTCGAACCCTCTCGTCGTCGACAATTAATGTCAAATAAGGGCAGTAGACGTTCTACAATCAACCTATTTCCACCCTGACATGCCAGATGAAGTACATTGTTATTGTAATCATCTGTCAGTGTGAGATCAGCTCCCTTTGTCTGAAGCATTTCAAAAGAATCCCTTTTTCCACAGAAAGCTGCTATCATTGCTCCCGTCAAACCCTCATTTCCCCGACAATTAATGTCAAATAATGGCAGTAGACGTTCTAGAATGAACCTATTTCCACCCTGACATGCCAGATGAAGAACATTGTTATTGTTGTCATCTGTCAGTGTGAGATCAGCTCCCTTTGACACAAGCATTTCAAAAGTATCCTTCTTTCCAAAGAGAGCTGCTATCATTACTCCTGTCAAACCCTCTCGTCCCCGAAAATTAATGCAAAAAAACGGCAGTAGGCGTTCTACAATGAACCTATTCCCAACCTCACATGCCAGATGAAGTACATTGTTATTAAAGCCAATTGT